ATCGATGGCCAGCGCTACGTTTCGGTTACGTATTGCTAACAACAACTGATGGTTGGCCAGGTAGGGCGTCTCACCTGTAAGTGTATTATTAAATTATTTTTGGAATTGTCAGCAACCTGAGATTAATTTATCTCCTAACTTAACCTAATTAAGCCTAACCTAACTCCTAGCCTAACCTAACCTAACCTAACTAACCTGAGAGTAATTGAATGGATGTAGGGAGCTGTGTGTTGTCTTGTTACCACCCCAGCTTGAGGTTGACGACTACACAACAACCCCAGCGAGGACGACTACCACTGCACCCCAGCGAGAACGACTTCACTACACAACCCCCAGCCGAGGACGACTACTACACCCCCAGCTTGAGACGTACCACTACACCACCCAGCAGAACGACTGCTACTACACCACCCCAGCTTGGGGACGTGCCACTTGCTGGGGACACTTTAGCTTGAGAACGATTACTACTACCACCTCAGCTGGGAACGACCACCACTACACCACCCCAGCTTGGAGAGCGACCACCACTCACCACTGGCAGGAACGACGATTGCCCCTATACTACCCCAGCGAGAAGGGTGAAGGAGAGTAGAGTGTAGTTGGGACATCAACACAGGGGTCCTTGTGACGATGCTGATTGCTGAGTAATATAGCTCTCTTTTTTTTTTTTTTTTTTTTTCTCTCTCTCTCTCTCTCCTCAGAGTTCAGTTCTTCATAACGTGTATATTTCTGTATTCCTGTCTCTGAAAAACCAGATTAGACGGTCGGAGTGGTCTGTCTGTCTGTCTGTCCTCCTGTCTGTCTGGTCAGGAATTATGTGTGGGGCATCTGCAAATAGTCCTCTTCCTCCTGCTGTCGGAAAGCACCATCTTACACCTCTAACCCCCTAACCCCCTTCCTCCTTCTCACTCTCCCTCCTTGCCGTCCTCTCTGATTGAATCACATTGACCTCCTCCAAGTTGATAAAGATGGCTGCGGCTCATGCGGTGGTGGGGAGGAAGAGGGGATGGAGAGGGGAGGGGGTGGTGGGGGGAGAGGGGGGGTGTGTATTCTTAGCGGTCCGTGTTAAATTCGTTGGCAAAGTGGAAATGTGTCGTTGGTTCTTTTGTGACTTATGACAGAAGATGTGAGTTGTACTTTACACTACTTTTTTTTATATTCTTTCGAACTGGAAATGTGTAATTGATCATAATATCTATCTCCTTTTCTTCCTTCCTTCTTTCTCTTCCTCCTAATCTGTTTTTTTTTTTTTTGGGTCTGAGGGAGTGCTCTGCAACCCACATAAGCTTACTAACACAACATGGCGACAAACCATCATGTGACTCGATCTATTTTCTATCATTGGTTTTAATGAAGGTTGGGCTGGAGTAGAGGTGAGTGAGGTGAGGTGAGTTGGGAGGTGAGGTGA